CTGAAAATTATAAATGAAATATGTTTCTGTTCAAACATTAAAGAATTAACAAAAGCATGCTAATGAACTTATACTACTACAATTTTGGCATTGTAAGATAGCACATTGGGACCGTAACACCAAGCAAAGATTGATCACAAACAATATACAACAATCTGAATGCCTGTCTATTAAAAATTTTCAAGCATGCAGGACAATGTCAAATTCAACATAGAATTGATGTCAACAAAACTAATTATCTAATCAGTTCAACTCAATTAAAAACCAACAGCATAGAGGACTCAACTTAAAAGCCAAACTCAATTAACTATTGACTTATAACACAGCTTGATTGATCAGTAACAACCACTATATCTATGTCACTAGTCTAACTTTTAAGTATATAGGAGCTCAGAAGCCAAGCGTAACAAATACATCTCACTGAAGAGCCTTTCCAATGAGCTCTTCTTATATGTTAACAGCTCATCACAGCTACAATTTCTAATCACTCAATGCAAACTAAATCTAACAAATGATTAACTACCATTAGTCCCCTTTATTTTGAACAGGAAATAATTTGATTTCAAACATTCCAATAAATTATCCAACAGAAACATGCTAATTTACAATCAAATTACAACAGTATTACATTATAAACAAATAACAAGTGTTGAAATCATTAAGTTACCTGATTAGAGACAGCCTTTGCAATTCGGCGGAAATCCTTGTTCATGACAGACTTGTGAACCATTTTCCCAGGTTGGTTCTGCTTCTTAGATTTTGTAGTGGAAAGCACCACTGAAAGATCTTTCCCAGCAGGTTGAACTGAAACTGTCCTCTTGTCGGCAAGTCCTACCCAAATAAACAATAAATCAATACAACATAACAAAAACCCAAAAACCATATAAGAAATAAACAAAACCCCCTTTAAACCTTATTAGATCTAATAATAGTCTTACCTGAATACTTGAATGAGTTGAGATTGTAAAGATTGTTGCTTTCTTTGCTAAACTGAACCATCTGACTTCCATTACCAAACTCCTTCACGAGAAAAGAGTTGTTCTTCTTCACAATCTCCCAAATCAAAGACCCTGGAACTGTTGCCATTTCGACCTAAAATGTTCGAAAAACAATCAAATTAGAACAGATTCAACTGAAAATGGTATAGATAAACAGATCGAATGAAAAACTCAAATGGGTTTCGATTAGATT